AAAAAAACGGTTTCTGTGGTTACTTGATATTTAAACTACTAAGCATCGAAATTTGACTTATCATAAATGTATCCACGAAAGTGGAATTGACACCTTCTTGAATATAGATATCAGTTGGCACTTCTTAAAATGAGGTTTATTGTAAAGATGAATCTCTAATTCATATAAAGGACATGCGGGTTTTTATCATTGTCGCTTCACCATCGGCTTTGCGAGAAAAAAACGAAAGATCAGTGTGCAGTATTTGATTCTTTGGACGCAATACACCCCGCAAAGAACTATCTGTAGGACTTACAACAGCAGCAACATCCAAAAGAGCACCCTCAGTTGCAAAACCAGGAATAAAAAGCAGCATCCGTGTAAATCGCATGTAAATTTCTTCTCATTATTGTAAATAAAATCACACATTAAAAGCCGAGTTGTCCATTTGCAGAGTAGCAGCGATGTAAGCGAAAACATTACAAGCTTCCATATTCTTTTTTTTTCTTTCATTCGTTTTGAATGATGTAGTTGATCCAGTTTAGATACTTGGACACGCGCGTGTAGACCCCCGGGGAGTAGACGGCGCCACAGTCTCTGCCCCAAGACACGATTCCTGCCAGTTTCCACCGCCCGTTCTTGATACATACGAAGGGGCCGCCACTGTCACCCTGAAAACGAAACTTTCCCTTTTACTGCTGATTATTCGAGATTCATTATCGAACCACCGATCAATTTAATTACGAACTTCTATTCGACAAATTTATCATCTGATTCTGAATTAAATCGTCATACAATTTACAGGTATGTTAACAAAGGACACATCGCAATAAATAAATAAATAAATAAATAAATAAATAAATAAATAATGAACCACCACGCCTAGATTCTGGTCGTAACCTTGGCATTAACACCACGTAGTTACCTGACAGGCGTCCTTTCCTCCTTGAACATACCCTGCGCACAGCATGCTGTCCAGTATAGTACTACCATAAGAACGCCAACAATCAAAATTACTAATGATTGGAACGTTCACTTGGTTTAGTAGAAATCCGTAGCTAGTTCCTTAAACATAAAATGAAAAGCTATAAAGTAATCTCACTATAGGCATATGTATTTGAATGATGTTCTTGTCTGATAACAATACCTTTGCAAGAGATAGGTAAATTTAGATCGCATCAGAAGTTCTCTCTCTGAAAGCTGAAGTTTGGTTTCAAACTTAGACAAGAATTTCATTTAAAGAACTTGTCTTATCTAGTCTTTTAAGTGCAGTAGCTAATACTTCTTCGAACTTTAAGTCATCTTAAAACTAAAACTTTACTAGCCTACGAAGACAGTTTTATGGAATGGCTATTTCTTGAAGGATTTACTCCTTTTTATCACATTACCATCCCCCCCCCCCCCGGTTTCGCCCTCCAAGTTGCCATTACCCTGTGTGCTCCCCCATCCTGTGACAAAGCAAGTGTCATGACTGTCAAAGACCTCGTTAGCGTCCGGCAGACAGGCGGTATTGACGTAGGGGCTGGCCATATTGACGGGAGTGTCCAGTTTTAACATGGCGATATCGTTGGCGTGGGGACGAACATTATATTGAGAGTGCATGACCAGTTTGGACACACGGCGGTCCTCTTCAGTTCGTTCCCAGTAACGTTGATCGTGCTCTCCGAAACGGATTTTGTAGCCATTGGGATCTCTTGACCTAATAAATTAAAGGATTAAACAAAGAGGAATTGTCTAATAAATTGTCCAATATTCTAGACAGTAGTTTCAGACTCAAAAACATCAAGCAAAAGTGATTTCCATTGATCCATAAGGAAAGGGGAGCATCCACTTCGTGAAAGTTGAGAGAACCGTATTTGACATACATACATTTATTTAGAAACAAACTGCCACCGGTTTGCACCAGTGTATAAAGAGTGCGCTTTTGTGAAAGGTACAGTACAAACCCTTATACTTACTGCCCGAAACAGTGGGCGGCTGTGACGGCCCAGTTTGGAGCAACCAGAGTGGCACCACAAGTGTGGGCGGAACCTCCGTTGGAGTAGAGAAGGCGTAGAGACCCCTGCCACGGCCATGATCCCTTAGCAGCTAAGGAACCGCCAACAATACGCCCCATGTTGGCTCGGAATAGTGGCACACCGCAAACTGTAGGAGGAAATGTTGAATGAGACGATTGATCAACTAATATAACCGTATGAAAGATACATAAAAATCCATGATATTTATAATGATGAAATTATTTGGGGGACCGTTCACTTAATGACTTTGTCACAACGCTTTACATGAGTAAGGTTTATATAAGGAATGATTTTCTTTTACTTTTATATTTTTTATTTTATTCTATTTATTCATTTTGCTAACCTAATAGTATGGGAAGGAAAACATGTGACGCTAGTGGATGATTTCATTTTGAGAAAGACATTTTGGGGTGTATGGTATGATAAAAACGCTTCAGTTTTCTGAATGTTGCTTTAATTCCGGTGACAGTTCATACCTTTGGGTGCCAAGGTGGTGGTTGTGACTACATTAGCGACTGGGGCAACGATTAAGTTCTTAGTCTGGCAAATAACTCCGACGTCTTCGGCGTGACTGCAGTCGTTGGTCCCCCATCTGTAAAGGGAAGTAATATCAAAAATATAGCTCACTGTGCTAGAACACAGTGTAATAGGTGTATTCAATAGCAGTGCTCTTGGACTACACGTTGTGTGCAACATTTGTGTGCTAACTTGTTATATAAAGGGTCGAGCTGTTTCAGAAACATGATTGAGTTATCTTATTTTAGGATACACTTCAGTTTTCCGTGAACCTTTTTTTACACGCGGAAGTACTATATTTTTCAAATTGACAATTGTCAAACACACTAGATATAAATTTTTTAGATTTTTACAACAATTTTGTAGAAATGATATGGGACTCCTTGACATGAGATTGTGAAATCAAAGTCACTGTTGTTGGTAAAAGTCACTGTAGCTTACGGGTTCCTGGTGCACTCCATGATGTTGTATTCATTGCCTGTGCACTTGAGTTCGTCTATCCAGATACGACCGCTCCCCTGGCCGTAATAGCCATTAGCACGTGTGCCTGCGGCCCCTCTGTAATCACAAAGTTTTTAAAAGGTTTTAATATAGAAATTTAAAAAGTCAGAAATGCATAAGGTGAATAGAAAAACAATTAAATAGAAGGAAGGGTACAAGATGAGTACTTATTAAAGTCATTTTTGAGGTCGAGATTGGAGTAGTTTTTATCTTCACCTCTGAATATGAATTAGCCTGTTTATTATGCCATTATACACACCTGAAGCCTAGCTCCCTGCATATGATATCCGCTTCTGTCATGCCAAAGTTATCATCACATATTGTTCCCCATTCACCGTTGTAGAAGACCTCTACTCTCCCTTCGTTTGGAAGTTTCCCGCCCTCTAACTTCAGTACGACCTGTACCCGTGACTGCCCATCACCGCCGCTGTCGTCGTCCATAACCAGGGCGCCGGAGCTGTTGCCGGTGTTGATCGGTGCTGAAAGTTAAACGCCGGCGACTAATATTTTTCGGCTTGTTCTTCCATTCTTCAAGTTCCATTTTTTTTATATTGGCTGATTAATTCAAGATGCATGTATTTGGTTTGATACTCATCGCTCCTGGTTCACTTTTTACTCGATGCTCCTTTTTTTATTTTATGTCATCACACTTGACAGAAAAACATTCAAAAGGTATCAACAAAGACTGACTCGAAGTCGTGAGAAATGCATTTAGTTTATATCGTTATATTTATCATCTTTAGCTTACCGTGGCAAAGATCGTCTGCTTCATCGGCGTTATTTCCGCAATCATTATCGCCGTCACATGACCAGCGTGCAGGAATACACATGTTGAAGTGCTGGCACAGAAACTGATTTGGACGACACGTGGGCACTGCAGGTAGGGAGGTTTATATTGTACAGTAGGTTGATAATAGTAGTATATCAGAAGTAGAATATCAGAATATTTATAATAAACTCTTACACGATGACTCCTTTTTTAATGAAGCAGGCAGTTTATGTATGGCGGGTTTTCAGAACACAAGTATGTGTTACAAGGTTGTTTCACATCCTTAATATGATGGATATATGGAGGGTATCTAGCTGGTATCCTTGAGCGTAAAAACCAAACCATAAAATTGGACGTTTCCAACAAATCAGGATTGCGCATCTTGACTACTGCCACTATTAGTGGATTGATATTGCGCAGTTTTGTTTTTGTTTCTTTTAGATTAATATTCATTGGTGCGTGATAGATAACACTCGAAATATCGAGTATTAAGTAATTCACATTTATTCCTCGCTATACAATATCAAAATGATCGGTTAAAAACCTTTATCCAATTAGTTTCAAGCCTGCTTGAACTGCACCTGGACTTATCGCCAATGAATAACTCTACTATTTTTATTTCAAATCCCCGTGTTTGATATATTTATAGCCACCCCGTGCGCATACATAAACGCTAACTTATAAACAATGACATAATTTGCGTCAATCAGCCATATGACGTAAACTAGAGAGCCATCACTTACATTTAGCTTGAGGCGATGGTTTGATGCAATCAACACCGGCATCTTCTTCGTGTGTACAGTCGCTGCTACCTGGACAACATCAACAAAGAACTGCTAAGAAAGGAAAAATATTGGCACGAAATGTTTGCTTGAAGCGAAATTTAGTAGCATTTTCATACCTTTCTCTCATCAATATAATTTCACTTCTTCCTTTCATTCAAAACAATGCGTTTTATTATTTTTTTCTTTTCAGGTTTTGTTTTGATAGAACGAAAATCGTTGCCACCTTTCGCCATTGTGTTCCCTTTTAAACGATATAAAGGCTTACTGCTATTTATATGTACTTTTGAATATTTTGCATCAAAATCAGAAGATACTGATTAATATTACTTCGACAGGAAGCAGAGTCAAGCCTCACCGTGTCTGCCCGGGCATTCATCTAAAGTGTTCTCGATGTTTTTACAGTTCAAGTCATCGTGGTGAATGGGACCGGTGCCTGCACCATAAAATGCCTGAAATTAGTTGATACACAGGTTATGTTCGGTCTTCAGTTATGCCTTTGCTAAGCCACAAGAATAAGCCTTTCCATTTCGTACCTAAAGCTACATAATTGAAATTTTGATAAATGAAAAAAATATTGTAGAGTAAAGTTTCAATTTATAAGTGTGTCTTAAAACAATTGCAGTCGCATAAGAATTAAGATATGATATCCCTTACTTCGATTACCACATTTGTATTTTCACAGCCTTCGCCCTATCGGTTCTTCCTACGTTGAAAAGAAATATTTCAAAACATAAGTTGAAATTGGGAATAGTAAAGGAAACTTAGAATCTATAATTTTGTTTTATGGTCCAAGCAGGTGTCCATTACCCCTGTCCTGGCTATGGCCGCTCCATCAAATCCCAGCTGCTTGCAGGCTACATGAGCGTCGTAAAGAGACCACCTGTCCGAACACACTGTCCCCCAAACACCGTCTCTCCGCACCTCTACACGGCCTTTGTAATGGCTGTTAGCACCCACAAGGCGGATATCATCCCAAACTGAAAAAAGGACAGGAAGCGTGAAAAGTGCAATAGAATTTCCTAGAATTTTCCCGGAGTAAACAAAAATTAGTTGACAATAATACTAAAAACCGATTTCCTTCTCACTTCTGTCTTCTCTTCCTTTTTCATTCTCTCTCTATCTATAACAACAGTTATTTTCAAAATTCCAAGAAAATTGATGATTAATTTTAAGCACCCTACCGTTGAATTTTACGCCAGATACGCATAATAACGCTGTGCAAAAAGAAATAAACTGAATCTGAAGTTTCATCGTTACTGCTAATGGATCGAAGTGAGAGCGAATTTTTCTCTCTCCGATCACAGCTAGGTGTAACAACTTAAGTAACAAACAGTACCCTCAAATGTATCGAGTATTACACGCGCCTTACAGTTTGGACAGGTTTCACTGATAAATTAACAAAGTGCCTTAACACCAACACCCCACTTACACGCCACCAAAAGATGTAGGAATAGAGGGAAATCATTGGTTTCTATCCCGGAGATTATAAACGTGGGGATTATCTCTTCACGTTCTACGCAAGTCAAGGGCGTGGGCATAGCAACAGCGCCGTTGAAGTGGAACTCAATATCAAGATATCTATTCTTGGATGCTTGAATAAATACGTGACTTACACTGGCGGATCCATCCGGGGTCTAAGGTCGCATTCAGAATAGTGGACTAACTACCGAGTAGTCCGAGGGTCAAATATGGCGACCCACTAAAAATTAAGCTTGTCGTCTAATCTGCTAATAGACACTGAATAGATACCCTGTGGATCGACCATATTTGACCCTCGGACTAGTTAGTCCACTGCCCTGAATGCGGCCTTATTTTTGGGGGAGAAGGTAAAGTGTGGGTAAAGGTTGGGGTAGAAAAAATTTTCTCCTGCATAGTTCAATATGATGCCTACTGGTACATTCAAGATTATCTTCACTTTTATAGGAGGTATAAGGGGTAGGAGACACGTGACCACTCTCTCCCCCCCCCCCCCCCCCCCCCCCAGATTCGCCTTAGGCTGTGAAATATTTACCATTGTAACTATCGGTGCAGATATTTCGTCTGGCTGTTCTTTGTTTTACCATAGAAGTAGAGAACTTCTATGGTTTTACCTAAAGCGTTTGCCTACATGTACGGCAGTATTTAAAAATCAGACAATTAACTTTATCTTTAAAATTGAATGCTAGATTATTTGGGGTTGAATTTTCTATATCTAAAACGATTTTAGAATCATAGCATACCCTCCAACACACACACACACACACTTTTTCCACTTTCATCTTTTTTTTGGCTTGCTTGCAAGCACGAAATCTTTTCTATTTGTCACTCCTAGCCTATCCTGCCTATTTACATCCTAGATGTGCTTGATATTATTATGAAAAATGTTATCAATATATGTCCCAGAAGTTGGGCTGGACACGTGTGACAACACACCTGCAGCACATAGGTGACACACACCTATAAACCACAACTGTAGCAGACATCATGAAATAAACATGAAACCCATCTGCTACGTAATGTTTGGCCTATCTCCCGTCGTTCAGAAACAAAAGCAGTGTAACTAGGAGTCAACCTTCACCTCGTGCGCAAAGGTGTTGTCTCTCCGAAATCTTTAATTATCTCCAACGCGACTTGCTACTGACACGTCGGCAGTTTCGGCTGCCATGTGCCCGCGTTGCCGGGGAGGCTCCAATGTCACATTGATTGTACCTTATCTTCGACCATATAACTCGGTACCTCTATACAAGCACACAGATTAGACGGCTGGCTGACGGTCTGTCAAGATACCATCCACTCACCAGATGTCGCCTACTCTCGCCGCGACGTTGTTGCTTGCAGCGTGCATTTCAACAGGTAAGGGTTGCTGTAGATACAGACGTTAATGACGTACCAGAATTAAACTGGATAATCCACCTGTGTGTCCATTTGCGTAATAAGATCAAATCTTAACGTGTAATTTATGATCCCTCCTCCCCTCTGTATCAATTTCAAGGAAATTGTTATAGTAATGTAGATAACTGTTTACCTATTGAACAAGGGTTAAGATACCGGAAAGATTTTCTTGAATTGGATGGTTATACTTATTAAGGAATAAGATCAGAAAAATGAAATATACATGGCAATCGTTGTTTATTTTAAATCTTGACGATTTAAAAAAAGGTTTGTGAACTGGGAACAGAAAGAAGTAGGTAAAGTCGTCGTAGATGCTGTCTACTTTAAGAGCATTTGTATAGAACACTTTCTGAAGATGTACCGTGCAAGAATGATGACATGAATTATTTAGGAAATCTCGGAAAAATGGTGTAATTTCCAAAAATAATACCAAAAATAATTACCAAAAATCGCAACAGGATGAGAACAGTTTATCACAAAATCATATCAATAAGGATTTGTCTATTCCAGAGTAATTTTCCTTCAAAACCCAGCGAAAAAAGAGTTTTCTCTTTCAGCGATGACTTTGACTTCACTCTGATACACTGAGCTTAGTGAGCACTGATAGGGTGTGGCTAAATTCGTTTTAGACAGGAAATGATATTTTGCTGAGGGAAAAATATTTCCATGGAGGATTGTATATAATTTTCTGTCACTTTTATTATATTTTATTTCTGTCACTGTTACACGTTTCACAAATATGTTCTCTTGGTACATGCATAATAAACATCACTTATAAATCTTAAAAATGCCATAAATGCATAAAACACTTCAGTGATCGTAAATTATTTAGCATTATACTGATATTGTTTACTTTTCTGTCAGCAGCATAGTACTAATATCAGGAAACATTCAATTCTTAATCTGATAATCTGTAAAAAATTTTTTTCTTTGGTCTCTTGCTTTTGCCTAAAGAAAGGAGCACGTGTCCTTTCTAGGCTAAGAAAACTGTTTGATATAATTTGCATCATAATTACTTTTTATTTCCGGTTGGAGTACGTAAAAATAATCTGTGTGTGTGTGTGTGTGTGTGTGTGTGTGTGTGTGTTTGTAAGAATTTTAATATACATGGAAATCCCTTTTAATATAATCGTATTGACACTTGAATAATGCTAATTCACATCTGGTCAGTTCATCGTTTATCGCTATCTTATCCGGGATTTTCCCTCCAAAGCGAAAAATAGGCAGTCTCCTCTTTCTCACGAATCATCGCTAGACAATACCTTAAAATTTCATTATGAAATTCCTTACAAGTCGATAATGATGACGGGTGCATATTGAAATAATTGAAAGTGAAAATTGGGATTTCCCTGCGATGTTTGGCAGGCAAAGCAAATAACTCCTTATCTGGAAGCTAAGTACTATCAAACATTATCATGGGCGGAATGTGAGCAAAACAGGCTGTCACTGATACATTTGTATGCACTGATTTCCATATGCCAATAATAGAACTCGTGACTGATAGATTGATGTCTCAAAACTGTTCCTGATTGAATTTCATTGGTCTAAAAATAATTATGTTTAAAGATTTTTTTACCAACGCTGTTAGCGCATCTGATTAATAACTATTAAAAACTTTGGTTTTACTGTGAGGGGTGGCTGGGCAAGGATGGATAGGATTGTAAACAATTTTTCTTTCTTTACACAGTACACTGTAAATCCAGAAAATGTTCTAATTTTGTAACAGCATTCCATTCTATTTACAAAATTTAGCTATTAATAATAAAATCCGAAAACTCTGAACTTTTATTTTCAGTTAAGCCAGACGACAAGCCCAAATACAAATGTGGCAACCCTATCATTTCACCTTTATTACGGGATGCCGAAGATGAAGAAGCACCAAATCTCCGCATCGTTATGGGGACTAACGCCAGGAGAGGCAGCTGGCCTTGGCAGGTGCGATACGTGGGGCGGTTGAAATGATACTGAGAGGGGGGGTGGGGATCAGATTCTAAGTTTTTAGAGGCACTGTTTATTGTTTTCGTTTGCGAGACCATTGATCATCAATGTCTAAGAATGGCACCAAAGTGAAATATCAGTAACTTGGCATATCTTCATGTCAACGCTTCATTAAAAACGTGAGAAGAAAAAAAAAAAACAATTAAAGGACACTTCCTTTCCTTTGTTGCCGACCAGATAAAATTAATGATTCTTTATCATTTTTGATAATTTTTTGTGTGTCATACGCTTGAAAACCTATGAATCACTATGCAACTATGAAAAAAAACAGTGGTTTTAGTTTTTGTTGTTATATTTTTATATTGTTTATCAGTAATTTAAATTTTCTTCAGTTAAATTTTATCCTATGTGAATGAAAACTTTTAGCAACTAAAGATATCAAACCTACTAATTAATAGATAGAAATAACACGATGTAGATTCTCTCCAACTTTATATGGCAATATGAAAGGAATCTTTTGTTTTCTACCATTTTTTATATTTTTGCGATCTCCAGGCTCTGCTCCGGTTTCGTTTATCTCTGGACCCCACGCGGCCAGTGCTGACTTCTTCGGTGGCGTTGTGTGGTGGAACCCTAGTAAACAAGGACTGGATTGTTACAGCAGCTCACTGCTTTGATGATCTACCGTAAGCCGGGACGCTACGTGATTTCTCAGAATCTTGCAAACCTCTTTCCCCTACTGACACCGATACACAGACCCACGTGCACACACAAAAACATACGTGCACACACAAACGCATGCAGACCCACAATTACATAACCAGTATCAAACGAAAGCCAAAAAATACTAAGTTTAAAGATAATTAATGAAACTTAAGCCTAGATTACATTTGCCATACGATGTCCGTACTGCAAGGAGAATGAAAGGGCTCCAGACGATCACCTTTATCCGAAAAACCGATTTTCCTCACGTGACGTCAAGGTCATGTCTATGGCTTAGAAATGGCACGGTACCTGCACGTTATGTAAACGTACTTGCCGTAGTCCATAGCCATTTACCACGTCAAAAAATCGTACGAAAAATCGCAAACGATTTCATCGTGCAGCCCCGGTGGTAAATGTAATCTAGGCTTTAAGTGAGTATCTGGCATTTTAAATTAGCTTTTGATTAATGACCGCCTATAACAGCTTAAAATCGATATTTCTTTTTCACACCATCACCAAAAAAAAAAAAGGCTTCTGAAATTGAAACTGGATGGGAGGCGATCGCTCGGGTTTTTTGTACTTGGATTTCACACAGGGGTGCGTGTAGAAATGTTATCTCATATAAGAGGTTTGACACAAGTCATAACGAAATTATTGGGGGGGGGGGTATTTATTCAGAAAGTAATATCATAAAAAAATGATAATCGATTCTTTTAAGCTTCTCGCAGTTGCTACCCCATTTTTCATGAATTCGTGATTAAGTGTCGACTCGCTTAAACACTAGGGCATGTGTCTTTACCATTTATCACAGGCGATGGACTTAATAAACTATTGTTCATGGGGAAAGCTTTGAATTTATAACCCTCAATAGGTCTTACGCTACAAAAAAAGATGTACTTGGCAGGAAGTTACACGCTGGGCAGTCCATCTTGGACGAAATCGTTATATTCGCCCAAGTTTTAAGGTATTTTCACAAGCCTTAAAACATAACAGTTATGTTTGCCTCGTTTTTATAATCTTTTTGAAATGGCATTATCATTTTTTACTAATTAATTACCTCATCTTAGTTAATTGCTTTGAAACCATTTTTACTTTACAAAGTAAAGATACATACCAGACGAGGGTACGGCTGTGTACATTCCCTGTAATTATAACGCAAGCAAATTTCTACTACCAGTTTCAACATGAATAAAATCCTCATGCGAAAAAGCGTAAATAAATAAAATAAAATAACCCAAATTAATGACTCTGTTATCAAAAAAAAAAAAAAATTCCAGCATCTTAAAATTTGTGGTCGTAATTTGATATCCTTACAAAGATTGGGGAATTATCAATTTTTAGAAAATAATGTATTGAAACTCTGTTCGAAACTATATGGTGCCCTTTGGTCGGGTTTAGTGGCAATATTTTGGCATGTCTACTCTGTCTATGCATCTTTAAAATAAAGGAATGACATTTATCTAAAATAAACAACATCTTTCTTCATAAGCGATTTTATAGAGTAACAGTTAACCGATCAGAAATTTGAATACAACAATAAATTTTATTTTTATTTCCTTTCAGCGGGGTAGATATAAACTTCAGAGAGGAAAGACGGTGGTATGTGCAGCTTGGAAAATATAACAAAAACATGCAAGAATCAACAGAACAAACGTTCCAAGTTCAGCAATTACTGGTCTATCCCAAGTACAACAGAAGTGTAAGGTACGATGCAGACATTGCGCTGTTAAAGCTCAACGAATCGGCCGACATGACGGATTTCGTGCAGCCAATATGTCTCGGGAAATTACCGCCAGGGCGTAGAGGCAGAGAGCTGTGCTATATCACTGGATGGGGAGACACCGAAAACGGTAAGTAGGAAAAAAATGGAATACTCTTGACAAAATGGCCATCAAGCCGAGGGGGGGTCAAATCCTGCGTCTTAGATTATTTAATTATACATGTATTTCAGCTGGATTCATGAAAATGGTAGAAAAAAAATTTAAAAAATGGAAGAACATGGTATTATCAAGATAAAACGACTGGTATTTGATGAAATCATACAGTTATGGTGCGAAAATAGACTTAGATCTAGACTGGATCTAGGAATGGGTTCTTTAAGTGTAGGGCACGGTCCTTGTGGCTTGCACATTCATGAACAAGAAATAATAAGATAAGATAGTAGTGGGGAAACTGAGAGATAATCATCGAAAATCCTATATTCTAGGCCCATATTATAATGGAAATCTGAACCAAGCTCAACTCCCTGCATTGAGCGACAAAAAGTGCTCGCGTATCTACGGTGAGAGGGGTGTGAAATTGACCAAGAACATGTTCTGTGCTGGAGAGACTGGAGACCCGCCTGTGCCTGACGCCTGTTCCGTGAGGCTTTATTCTTCATACATTATTTATTTTCACTCAGTTATATACTTGTACCCTGTGAATTGTTATTTATTGAAATTCTGAAGTGAGTATCAAAATATCAGAGCAATTCATGTTGAAGCTTTTCGAATCGTCTTCTTTAAAAATTGTTCCAGGTTTGTGCAACTCTCTCTCTCTCTCTCTCTCTCTCTCTCTCTCCACACACACACACAGGCTATGAATAAGTCATATTATTATTTCAGGCCGACAGCGGCGGTCCTCTTGCATGTCGTTATAAGAACAGGTGGATATTGTATGGTAGGTATTCACGAGGTTGCAAACCCTGAGCATTCCTGTCATTTCAATTCCTGTCATTTCAATTTAAGTTTATTTCTACTTTTGCTCATAGTTTGACGAACAATTGTTCTCTCCATTTTGAGAACCGCAATGAAGGCATTACAACAATCACATTCGACTTGCCACACCTACCGCAATTACGGTCTTGGCTTTTTTTACCATTCATCAACTTATCTTTCTTCTTTCTTTACCATACAGTTTATTTGGTATCCACAAAAGATTTTTATCAACCGTTAGAAAAAACACTTTTATAGACAAAACAATTGTGACAATCATTCAAAAAATCATTTCATATCAAAAATTATTGTACTTGTAGGAGTAACCTCTCTTGGTCTAAATGGTCCTGACCGTCTATACAGTATTCAGTCTCAGCTGCCGCCAGCTTTCGTAATGCCACTGAAGGAAATAATTGCAGACGAGGAAAATGTTCGAGAAGAGCAAGAGACAAGACAGCTTAGATGCGGCAACGGCCCTGGAATCTACACTGACGTGGCGAAATTTAAGAAGTGGATCGAGAGAACGATAAGAACCAACTAATTTATATCCTGTTGAATTACACAGTAGCTAACGTCTATTCAAAGCATTACACGTATTTCACAAACATTAAGCACACGTGAACTTATCCGGGTACATCTGTACCTTATGGCTGACATTTGAAAAACGTCTATGAATTGAATTCATTTTATTGCATTTCTTTCTGTATGGAAATATTCGGGATTGAAAAAAACTCAATTATGTTAAATGCGTTACAAACGAGTATTTAGCAGTGTCCATGGGGGCTACTGTAACAAGCATCATATACGATGTGCATAGAAAACTCGACTGATTCATTGTGTAGTCTCCCAGTAAAAAATATCGAAAGACAATTAAAAATCTCTTAATCTGTCGATTTGAAGCGGGCTTAATTTTTTAATGTGCCACTGCCATTTATCAATATGGTATTTTAACATTTTTTAAAAAGATTTTCAGTTGTCAATAAAATAGTCAAGCAAATTAATAATAAGTCTTTGTTTAGTTTCTCTTTACAAGTATCTTAAAACTGTAGTCCTGACCGGTATATTACCTTTGTCCGATTCTAGGACAATCCACCCTCTGACAACCCCCCCCAGACNACCCTCTGACCATCCCCCCTGGCCTCCCCAGGAAAATAACTCTAAATGGGATGGTGATGATGTTTTAACCACTTACAAAAACGGCACTCTCACTAGTTCTTCTTCCTTTCCTTCAATGCAGTGTGACCAGGCGTGAGAAAATATGATACGTTCCACATTCAGTTGGTTTCAGCTCTATGTGGCCACCACTGTTTTCCAGTGTTATTAAAATAAAAAGACTATCGTTATCTTATTACAGTAGCAAAGTCCAATAAAAATCCCTTCCTTTTCTTGACGTTTACTCTTTTCAAATGTTTATCCAGTTCAGAGAGACACATAGCTTTTTGATAAATTATGCGAGGTCCTGCAAAATGCGAAATCCACGAAATCCTAGGGCGTATTCCCAGAGCTTTTAGATCGATCTATCCCCGCGGGGAGTCTCACTAGATTACTGTCAGATAATCCGGCTTAAATGTCCGTCCAGCCTACTACAAGCTGTAAGGGGGTAATTAACTTTCGTGCCCGCTCGGCTGACAGCTATTTAGCATGAACCCCCAGGGAGTTAGGTCGATCTAAAGTAGATCGATCTAATCTCTGGGAATGGGGTCCTAGTCGTTTTCGCACTTTTGGGGCCTGCTGAATTAAGCAAGTACAGGCTCCTGTGGGCCGCAGTATACTGTATTTGCACTACGTAAAGTAACCACGAATAACATTTTAACCGAAATCATTAATTTTTAAAAATCAATATTCTAAGAAGGTAGAAAGCGTGAAATCAAATAGCCATGGTCACCACTTACGAAACGACAAATGTGAACGTCCCTGGACACTTGTTTCGGCGGAGCTCCGGTATCTAACATTAGACGCGTTTCTCTATCTTAATAGTTTTCATTTTACTCCCGTAACTATCAAGGGAATCTTTCAGCCTGCGTGGAAGAAGCAGATACAAGAGATGGGGGATCCCTGTGGCAAGCAGTGTAAGACATGACCACACTATCACTAAATTCAATCCATCACAAAATCAATTATCAAACGCCTACAAAGAGTTTCGGGAAATGCAGGGAATACACATGTATAAGCTTAGGAAACGATACTGAGACCAAGTACAAACTCAGTGATAGTTATGATGATGGGACGGTACAAACACTTACGTAAAGATCAATGACGCCAACTAATGGTGTTTTAATTGGATTTTGTGATTAATTAGCACTGTATGATATAACTGTATTGTGCATTTAAACAGAATTAGTTGAAGTAACATCAAAAAACGCTATCGTACACGTAATGCTTTAATTGGAGATCATATAAAACATTTGTATATATTTAATGACACGCCGACATATGACGAGAACGTTTTTCTCAAAAATAAAAAACGACCGAAATGATATTGATAAAAATTTCTAAAAACTCTTTTATCCTTTAAGATTTAAGAAGCGTGCCATATTGCCAAAAAATTTTGTAAAAACGTACATATTCTAATAAAAGACCAAAGGCGCCAATATTACATCCGTCTCCTTACGTCACGAGAGACACTGTAGCTGGGACAACCCACCAAAATAAATAGATAATAGACAACAAACGAATTGTTTATTTGCAGTAGTCAAAGACTAATCCTTTGGCATGCTAGACACTTTTTTTACTTTATTTTTACATTTAATTTAATGAAGCTTTTTTTGGGAGGTGACACATCGTTAGTTTTTATTGGTTCTCAAGTTTGTATGATACGATGGTATCTAAAATATATTCATGTAGATAAATATCATCTGCACAGTGGGTGTTTCAAAGCCAAGCCAGTTATCAACAAACAAATCGCTCAGTCTTTCTTTTAATATTTCTAGGTTAGGTAATAATAATCCCCAAATCATTCTCTTCTTCACTCGTCTGGAACTTTTGCATAAATGAAATACGAACGCCGTAGAGGGAAATACAGAGGATATTAGTATGGCTCAAACACAGCAGCTGAGCATTCGACCCTATGTCCCTGTACTCCCCATGCTTAATAAAGTAAAGTAATGGTAATCTAATAAAGAGCACATCATGATATGAGAAATCCTAATGCCTCACTGTCTCTATTGGCCTCTGTAATCGAATAACTCGGAGATAGCATGGCTGCGTTGCCTGGCTCGACAAACACCCCTTTACGATATTGACAGATATTATGTACGTCTGGGAAAAAGGAATTTAGTCATTACTTAATAGAGATTGATGGATAAGGTAGAGTACGAGAGCCCTCAGCAGATACAGTATTGTTAGGAAATAGATATATTGACGAACAAATGCAGTTTAATGACTCCCTTTGCTCTTAAAAATATCAAAACGTGACTGAAGCGTTTTGAATGACAGCACTCCGTCATAGTTGGACCTTTCTGCGATTGTTGTAATTTTTGACGCAATTTTTAATGTAATTTTTCTTTTTCTTTCTTTCTTCGCTTCCTTTTTTATTTGAATCGACAAAACAGTTCCTCCAAATTGATGCAGAGTAGAATAACAAAGTAGAATTCAACACCTATGCGTTGTTAGTAGCCACTTAACGATAGGGTAGAACCAAGGACAGGCGCAAAAGGTTCAACAGCTCGTGCTGGCAACAGAAACACGTCTTTAGAGCTTTTTACAAAAACTGCGATATTTGTTGAATGTTATCGGCGCTTAATGAGGAGTTGAGGAGGGAAACACATTGTGCTGACGTTCTCCATGGGTATACCAAGACCTATGTCCAGAATATGTGCCAGTTTTAAAGGACGCTCAAGCTAACTTGGACCCCTTTGACGCCGTGGTGGAGTGAGGACGCTGAAGACTCGCACCTTATTTATTAATAAGATCCCACAACTGTGACTATATAGCAAGGATGAAGATGAGTTTGATAGTGGTTCTTCTGATCTGTTTTCAGTTATCAGGTAGAATATTGTTTTAATATTTATACGAATATCAGTAGGAGCAGCTGCCAAATTATTTCTAATTGCTTACTGTTTACAGTGTCTCGACGTGGTGTCATTTGTATTAAGATTAATTATTTATTTCATCCACTAGTTTCGTAGAAAGTTAAAGGTAGTCAAGCTCTGTTGAATTAGAAAAAAGATGTAGTTAACCGTACTAAAATGTTTTTTAAAAGTTTATTATACAGTTTTTCTTTAGTCAATATTAGCCAGAAGTGAATACATGGTTATCCAAGTATCTGAAGCCAGAATTAAATGGATGATTATCCAAGCATTTGTTTTTTCAACACTGTCGGTTGGGATACAATTATTTTTTCTTTTATTTTTATCTTTTCTCTCCCCCCCTCTCTCTCTCTCTCTGTTCCTTTTCTTTTTCTTTTTTTCTGTATTTTTCATTTATCTTAAAATGATATTGTGATTTTTCCAAATGGTTGTAGCACATGATTTGGATATGAATGCCAGTTAAAGAGATGCCCGCGGAATATTGACACGAAATAAAACATAAGCAAATTTAATGACGTCGTCGAATATTTTTCAAATTAATCACTCCTTCACTTAATCACCGTACGCGTAAAAGACGACCTTTTCTTGACCGAGCACGACCACCGAAACCTTAATTTACACCTGTTTTTTTTTTTCCTTTTTTCCGAACTAGTGAATTAGAACTATTGCGATCTTGAACATCATTTACTTGATGTACTTGATGGGACAATTTCAGTGTCTATTTTCCGAGTCATTTCCATAAAATCAATACTTTCTAATTTGTCTAATTGAAATAAAAAAGCAATCATTGCATTCCACGTGTTTTCCAACAACAGAAAAAGGTCCAACCTAATTCAAAATTCAGGTAATGAGATGAAAACTGAGCATGCAATGGTACATATTTTTCTCTGCCTGTCACGTGCACTGCTCTTGTAGACCTATATTTACGAATCAAAACAGATGTCGTACAGGGAATGGAGAAGATGATTAGATCAGTCATGTGAAAAACTGGTTTTCTCCTGTGAAGCGAAATCGTCTCATGAAGCATTAAGTTCACGCCAATACATTAAAACAAAACGGTGAGCACAGTCAAAGACACTACAGTTATCACAATGAAAAAAAAAAACTAAACAAATAACCGTAACCTGTCAAGCTTGTCCCTTTAATTTCAGCTGGCGGGCTCATACCAACTACGGATGGCCGGTTCATTTTCAACGGTAACTCATGGGAATATAACCACCATTTTCCATATAAAGAAAACCAACTGCACGGCCGGCTATGGTTTAAAGATAACAAATGGTGGCAAGAAAAACCCGGTTCCACAGATGACAAGGGCCTTAAAGAGTTTCTATCCAAATTCCCCCCTACAGAACCTCCATCACACCAATGCGGCGTTCAGAGTCTCCCCACGCCCGGATTCAGAGACAGTAGAAAGAGGATCATCGGTGGTAAACCCGCAGAGCCAGGGAACTGGCCTTGGGTGGTGAGTTGATATACCGCCTCTTTTCTAGATCTCTACTGATTTAACTAGGTAACGCAGAGTTGTCGGTATAGAGGTATGGGGGAGAGTCATGGTGACTTCTCTTGAAGTTGGGGTGTTAGAATTGAACGAGTGTTACTGTGTTTTTGAGAACTTAGGGTAAATAAAACTCTACAGAGTATGCGCTCCTCCGTTAGGTTTTGACTGTTAACAGAGGTGAGGTCTGTTGATTCAGGGTGCTTTATAAGGTAAATGGTGTTTTACGTGGTACGTTTTAAAATACTGAAAGCAAAAGAACAAGTAAGTTTACGTAACATGATGATAAATGATATTTCCAAATAAAAACACTGGTCAGGAAAAAGAGATGAACCACAGTTATTCGAACAAAAATGTTGCTTGAAAAGACCATTTCGCACCATTATTTGAATATCATTATCCAAAATGCTACCACCGACACTTACGGGATGAATCATTATTCACTTGCATTATTTGGCCCAAATTGAGCGCATTAGAAAGTTCGACTCTTAAGCAAAAATGACTTAAAAGTGTCAAAAATACGCGCATTTGGTCACAACGCGTAATGAAATGATGGGGGTAATGGAATTTTTCGCTCACCGCAATTTCTAAAATAACGATCTATCTATTCTAGGGGGAATAGGGAATAATTCTCTTTGCAATATATAAGTTCCTTTCCTCTGCCTAAAATCGATCTTGTACCCTTTTAATTGCTTAGAGAATACGTGGGTCAGATGATGCGCTTTCTGCTGGAAGTGCCACAGCAATCATTTCAAGTTTATGGAATTTTGATAAGATACAAAGTTGCAATATACGCTTGCAAATTTCGGTTATTGGTGTTAAATATTTCATCTTTATTTGAGTAAATCTGTGTATATTGCTTTCTGGCAAATCTACAAATCGATATACAGTATGTGCAATTTTGTAAATCGCAGTTCACTTTTAAGACTGAAATGGCTACAAAGTGCCAATTACATATACACCTTTTTCATTTATTTGTCAATGCCAATGAAATGTACATCTTTTTCACAGTCGAATGTTCTATCATATATTGTAGGCACAAATAGCTTATGGTCGCCCCCCTATACTGGGTCATTTGTGTGGAGGAGTACTTATTGCCCCACAGTTTATGCTCACTGCGGCTCACTGTGCTACGTTTTTCGGGTAAGTTACAATGTACATGTATCGTGTATTCCATGTGTGCCACGTCCTTTCTCTACTCTTTTTACATTGAAGAATATCATCCATATTTCTCTGTGAAGTTGTGAACACATCTATTTTCATATTATTGTATTAAAACATAGTTAATGGCTTGAATAAAGATGATTGATGAAAATACCACGGGTGTTAACTGAGAAATTATTTGATATTTTTATCGTTATCATCACTCTTTCTTTCTATATCCCCTCTCTCTCTGATTTTGTTTTGTTGTGTGGCGGTATCTAACACTCTTAGCTGCATGTATTTTAAATAAACCTTTTTTTTTTTGCTCATTAGATATTTGTACATGTAGTTATCTAAATATTATGTTATCGACCTAATTGATTCTCCTTTAATTGCATATGTATATTAATCGAGGTACAAGTAGGGCCTACATGTATATCCTGTTATGATCATCAGTACTTTACGGTTGATCTCTCTCTCTCTCCCTCCCTCTATCTCTCTCTCTCTCTCGCGCGCGCGCGCTCACCACTAGCAAATGGTGTTTAAAATGTGTTTTCATTATACAAAGCCTATTATGATTAATTTAGTGAAAGACTAGACCAGTGGCAGATCACGCTTGGAGAGTCAGACCTGCTACTGGAGGAGGGTTCTGAGCAAGTTTATACTGTAGCTACGTGGGAAAACCATCCAGATTTTGATCCAGCAACTCTGAACAATGATGTGACATTGGTGAAACTTGACCGACCTGTGGCAGGGAGTAAATACGTCAGCCCTATCTGTTTGCCTACCTTCCGAGAAGATGGCGGAACCAAATGCATTGTCGCTGGTTGGGGCTTTTCTAAACGTATGTACAGTGTCAATCTCATGACGGGGGTTGCTGACGGTCTCTGTCCTTTTATTTATCTAATTTTTCATTTTTTACTATAAGAGTCATATTCATATTGTGAAAAAAAAACATAAAAAGAGAAATAAAATATAATATACAGATACCACTGCCTGATCATAATTATTATAATTATTAAAATCACGCTTTGTTTGTTGATAAAGTAATTCCAGAAAGTGTTAGCTGTAGTCGATGTATATATGTATATGTACTTTAGCCTTCTCAGCCAACTGTTTAATAAGGGGTCTGTTTGCTCTGTCCTGCTTTAGCAACCTTTTCGTTCAGACTCGAACAGTAATTCTATTATTTACGTTTTGTTCTTATTTTTCATCTGAATAAAACCCTTGCAGCGGTGTCACTTTGCTTTCAGGTCGACGTATCGAAAAATCGACAAAAATTTGAAACTTCATTCATAAATCTGTTGTCTTTTAAATCATCGGTAATATCATAGTTTCATTGTCGGACTAAAATTAAGTGGTTAAACTGCAAACATCACCAATTAAATGTATGGGTTTTAATTTTAATTTTCCTTGTGTTTTAATTTCAGAGGCAGAGTCAAACGACAAGATACCGAGATGGCAGTGGAGCGACAAGCTGTATTATGTGGAGGTGCCGATTTTGGAAATGACAACGTGTCGAAATCTGCTGCCGTCCTTCAATATTTCTGACACAATGGCGTGTGCAGCTAGTCTCCAAGGCGGGAGAGACTCATGCAAGGTACGGTTCACACAGGGTCAATTTCAAATGGAAATTGGTCCAACTGCCGTTCACATGCAATCAAATTATAGATACTGTATGCCATCTGGTTGTTACATGTAGATGCCGCAAGATTTCAAGTTTGAAAATTAGTTGTGTTAATGTAGGTGAACAGATTCAGTATATCAATTACAACAACTTTTATTACAGTTTGTCTTTTTTTTTCTATTAACAAATGGTTCTACATGTAGGCCTACTTCACAAACAATTCAAGCATAGTTTATAGCATCAGTTTCAAGCATTATCCCACCCAACGATCTTAACCACGAACAAGGGTAGTTTTTTATTTTTCTCCAGTTTGAATGTACCTTTTCAAGAGCTTCAAATTCTATATGTTTTTTTTTTTTTTTCAGATGGACAGCGGAGGGCCGTTGATGTGCCCACATGACGGGAAATGGTATCTTTTCGGTAAGTTTTGGAATGTTCTACATATTTAAATCATTGGTTGGGAGAGCTGATAATGGACATACATTCAGTTCAATTTGATTTTGCTCAGGCTCCTACATTTGTGTATATTGTGCAAAATTGCAACAGCAAAAAAATTCAATATTGAACAAAAAAAAAATGAAAAGTAGAACAATTTTTATAGTAATGATACATCATCACAGCCGTCCTCTCGTTGAGGAAGCTAACAAATATTTTGCTTACGACCGAAATATCTATTCGGTGCCATCAACAGGGTATAGGCCTACAAGTAAGCCTATCTGCCCAAATAGGGTATGCCTATAAACCCAAGGCACAAGGGAGAGGGTAATGATGCATGCACTACACAAGCTAAATGTCGACCTACACAATGTCAGCATACACGTTTCCCGTAATAAATCTAGATTAAAAATGTTAAGATTTATCTGATGCGATTTATTCATAACAGAAATGTTTTTACGGCATTTTTATGAGTTATTACTGCCACCTTATGGTTTTCCTCTTTCATTATATTGTAGGCTTAGTGAGTTTCGGAGATGGTTGCGGATGGCCCAAAAAGCCGGGAGTCTACACTGTGGTCTCTATGTACTACGACTGGATACAAGAGCAAATGAGAAAAATGCAACTTTAAAAGGTGTCGAGAAAAGTGCTTCATTTACGGCAGGGATGACTGCAAAACTTTTTCTAATACTACCGAGAAGTTGAACCGTTGTACATTTTCAAAATGCCAATAGAAACGGCGACAACTCACTTATCTGTAAAAAGTTTAAGTGAGGCGACTGTTGTATACTTTAGAACTGCAGTCTTGGTGTAAATACGAACACTGACGTGCTGTGTTTTTCTGTAAAAGCCGGGACAAATAGGATAACGTCACTGATAATATACATGCATATTGGTGAAATGCACACATTAAATCTCTGGCCTGGCGTGTTTTAGACGCATTGGTTAGTTAAAACTGGGCATACCAGTTTAAATTTCTGCTTCCTAGCTTTTAAGGGGTATATTTTATAAAAGCAGTTTAAAATTCTTTAATATTTTTTTTGAAATATGCAAATGTTTCTGGCAATAAAGGGGATTTATGTAATGCAAAAAAAAAAAAAAATGATTATCTAGAAGCTCTATTCTCTTTAAACTATATCGTTATCGACAATTCTAATGATGTATTCTTTTATCGATGTATCTACCCATTTATTTCTTTGTTTGCTCCTTTTTCTTTGAGCAGTGACATGTCTTGGTTTTTCAATAAAATTTAAGATTACCTGCGAAAGAGAAATGCATCGATTTTACCGTCTCTGATTCATTTTCAGTTGCTTTGTTAACTGGAGTGTCTATTTTATTTATTTATTTATTTATTTATTTATTTATTTATTTATTTATTTATTTATTTATTTGTTTGTTTGTTTGTTTGTTTTTCGTATATTTATTTATGTATTGGTACTTCTCATGTATTTATTTATTATTAATTAATTATAATTAATTAATAGGGGCATTGTGTCTGGAAGCACATTTATTCATCTGGTACATGTACCAGTAGGCCTATTAACAAGGAATTAACTTATTCGAGTAGGGTCTAAAACGAAGGAATCATGAATTTTATTTGCAAATTTGAAAATTGGTACTTGATAAACACTTTTTGGTTAATCAATTACTTTTGCGCTGGTTTATCTTTATCCTGTTTATTGATTTAATCAGTTTAACATTTCTCTATTTAATTACTTACTACATATGTAGTAGTCTCCTTTCTTGCGAATTTACGTACTTATGTACACTACTTCCGAGTTCTCTTTCTCATAAGTTATAATCAGTAATCTATTTAAATAGGACTCTATGGCATTAATTTGTGTCGTTTCAACGCTGAGTGCGCACTAGGGTATACCTTATATTAGTTTACACAGGTTTTAATTATTAGGCCTACCATCAACACTATACACTAAGAGGTACACTGTATGCCTACGTGCCCCTCGTCAGTGACTCGTGTGTCGATCTGGAGAATTCTTTTAGCCTTCTTACTTTCACTTTGCAGACTTCGTCGAAAAGACAGAAAATGCAAATAGGCCCTAATATTTTAAAGGTGAGGGTTAAGTTAGGCCTATTGAAATACAGTAAATTGGCCTATTATTAGGATATGTGCCATGGAAACTAGGGCTGATCAGCTAATATTTGATCAGCCCACTTGGTAACCTCGGGATTTCCATCCCGGACCTTAGATAACGTGGTTTTGCCCAGCTAGTGACTGTATCCGATGCGTCAGACTCACTCTGTAACTTAAATGACCTCGTTTACGTATATATATGTCGAAAATTGAACATAAGCCACTGTGCCGAAATCGAGGCAGCAGTTTGGAATTTATGAAGCTATAGGTGCGGAAGTAACGATGCGTAGAGTGTGTAGGAAGTTTGCGTAGGAGTTTTCGGGTAAATCCATCAGCCGATCTATTAGATTAAGTAGTTTGCGTAGTTTTCAGGTAAATCTATCAGCCGATCTATCAGATCTATAGGTAAATGATTTGGAAGCCGAATGGTAGACTCTAGTGGTGATTAACCCAAAGTCACTGAATGCTCGAATAAAAGCTACAAGCCAGACTTGGACAGGTAAGCAATAAATAACACAGTACCCGTATTTCAACTTTCTGTGTTCAGGCCGTTTGTGAATTTTGTGAGTTGTTATCACTTATATACCCTAGCTACTCTACTCTACTCTACAGTACAACTATACTATACTATGCTATGCTATGCTATATGCTATGTTATGCTATGCTATGCTATGCTATGCTATGCTATGCTATGCTATGCTATGCTATACTATACTATGCTATACTATACTATGCTTTACTATACTATACTATACTATACTATACTATACTATACTATACTAATTATACACTAGCTGGCAGAATGTGTAGGCCTCTTTATACTCGTATGCTGAACTCGCAGAAAGGTTTAACTCCAGGGAGATTTTAATTGAAATCTGACACTGAGCCTGACTCTGTTTGTCTGAGTTAACCATTAAAATTTGATAGGTGAAGTACATTTGTACCTATTAAATGAAGTGGGGTCAGTGTTAGAAATTAAGGCTGGACGGTCTGCCCGGGGCTGACAACTTTCAGGACGGGCTGAGAAGTTTTCCCACCCGGCAGACATTCAGTCCAGCTACTTTTCAAGATGGCTGGACTTTCGGTCCAGCAACTTATTTTCCTAAGAGGCAAACACTGAGTGGGACATACAAAATTTTATTTCCATGTTGCTGCAGTTTTATTTTGATGACATACATGTAGATCAACAGTTACTGAATCCACCTTTTCATATGAAAGAAAATGTAAAAATGAAAACGTATTTAAATATGCCCTGATTTTGCTCTTTTTTTATGTGTTTACATGTACCTTGTTTGAAAATATCTGTAAAAAGTAATAATTGTGGAAGCCCTTGCTTCTGTTGGTGCTGTAGCAGACAGTATATGTCATTACATAAATGCAGATATTTATTAAATTTTATTATTATTTTTTTCATTTGCAGGGTATAAAATGGGGTCTATGCGTGAAGAGTACCGCAAAGCCTTGAACAAATGTAGAGTGGCTCTAATCCGTGACCTGGATGTGTTGGACCCAGAGTTCAGTGCTCACCTGATACAGGAAGGGGTGCTCACAGACCACATGCATGAAGATGTACGGCAATGTCAAACTCGTCAAAAGAGCTGTGAAAAGTTCCTAGAAATTATTTCGCATCGTGGGGACGCAGCATTCAAGGTCTTAATGAAAGCTCTTGTTGAAACCGGCCAAGAACATTTGAGAAACCTCGTTCAAGATGCATTTGACAAGGAAGAGGAGAGGGATGATGATGAATATTTTTATGATTCAAGTTATCTGTTGGCAGCCATAACAAAGGAGTCAATAAAAGATAATGTGGGGACCGTTCATCCAAATGACACAACTGATCATCTGTATGAAGATGAGCTGGACAATGATGGGTACATCTTGGTGTCAGAAGATGTCTCCAACATGGGGATATCTGAAGTAGGAAAGATAAGGCAAGAAGCCAGAAAAGGCACCAAACCCAAATCCAAATACTCTAAAAAGTCACGTTATTCAAGTGCCCATGAACCAGATGAGCTAGTTGAAGCCTTTCTTAAAGAAGATGTAATAGTCCTTCCTTTGCATGACTTCAGCGAGGTGTTTTTAGATGAAGATTTTCCACAGCCATCTCAAAATTGCACAGAAACATTTGCATGCAAAAAATTCTTCCTTATTCCTGAGGGTTTGGAGAAAAAGAGTGGAGCTGAGACAGCAGTGAAGCAAAAACCTCAGGTAATGCCAAAACCCAAAGCTGGGGAGTGGGAAAGTGGCAGCGGCATTGCAGAGGTTAGACAAAGACAAAAACAAAGAAGACAAGGAACCCGATTATGCAAATGTGAGAGAAAGAAAAGTGATAAAGCCACAGTACACAGATGATCACAAATCTGCCTTGAAGTCAGCTGCTGGGGAGAAAGCTACACGAGCCAAATTGGTAGCAAAAAAATTTCGACGACAGTCCACTTCCAATTACCCAGTCATACAGGTAGATGGCACTGAATTTTGTAAAGTTGAAGAAAATGCTATATGCCTTAAAGAAGGAACACCACTCCTGATAGAACACAGCGGTGACTATCTGAGAGACCAACCACCTGCATGCATTGCCTATGATTTAGATGGGAGATCTTTTTGCATTCCAGCTTCAAAGGTTTCTCTTTATGGTGGACCTGAAAAAGAACCATGGTTCTATCCCATTCGCATTACTACCAAGAATGCCACTTTTATGCTTCAGCAAAGAAAACGAGAAGGCTGCTTCATGGTCTATCCCTCCTCCAAGAATGATGGTTATTACCTAGCAGTTTGTGATGAGTTTGGCCAAGTCTGGCCCTATCCAATAAAAGAAGAAGACAGAGAGTTTAGTCTTGGTGGAGATTACCGCGTGTTTCCAACACTTAAGGACTTGGTGAACTATTTCCGCTGCAGCAGATATGGACTTGTCACAAGACTGAGACGTCCATTTAAAGAAGCCCACCTTGCCATCACACCTGGTCATCACTACCAGAAATCCTTTGAGATTGAAGATGACCTCCAAGAAGGCACAAAGCTTGGAAATGGGCAGTTTGGTATTGTTGTCAATGCTACATTAAAAACCCAAGATGTGGCTGCAAAAATGCTCCATACACAAGATGTTTCCGATTCAGCTGAGGATGACTTTTTGAATGAAGCACAGACCTTGATGCGCCTATGCCATGATCACATAATAAAGCTGGTGGGAGTTCGCTTTTCACAAGAACCATTTGCCATCGTTATGGAGAAGATGCCATGTGGAAATCTTCGACAATGGCTGAAGAATAATGAAGTCTCAGATCTGCCTTACTTCGATGTCTTTGAGAACATTGCATCTGCTTTGAAATACCTTGAGCGCCAGAGATATATACTGCATCGTGATGTTGCAGCCAGAAATGTCCTCCTCAATGAAAGTTTCCATGCAAAGTTAGCAGATTTTGGGATGGCAAGATATGTAGAAGATGACCGCTACAGGGCTTGCAAAAATGAAAAAATCTCTGTGAAATGGGCTGCACCAGAAGTATTGGAAGAAGCCGTATACAGCACAAAGTCTGATGTGTGGGCCTTTGGCATCTTTCTTTGGGAAGTTCTCAGCAATGGGCAGCCACCATATCCAGAGAAGAACAACCGAGAAGCAGCCATATTTGTCAAACAGGGCAAAATTATGGACTTCCCTTCTACTAAAGGAAAGCTAAATAAGAAAACACCTCTAGAAAAGGCAGATCTTTTTTATGACATCATGAAACAGTGCTGGCATCCTTTGCCTGAAAACAGACCAACTTCCTCACAACTACATGAATTAGTAGCTCCAGCAAAGAACTACTATCCAGTGGATGGCACAGTGAGGCAAACAAAACTCATGAGCAAGAAGAGTAACAAACCATTGCCATTGGTACCACAGACAGATGAGAACCATTTCTCCAATGACGAAAAAGATGCTGCATCAAGAGGCCCACCTCCTCCACCTCCTAAGCCAAAACACCGTCTTCCACCACCTTTCCCTGGTACTAAACTCGTAAATGATGCTGCCATTTATGATTCCGACTCAGACAGCCGAAAGAGTGATGTGTTAGCAGAAGAAAATTTAGGAGAACCTGCTGATGAATATGCCTTGGACCATTTTGAACTCCCAAAAGTTAGGGAGAAGCAAAAGAAGAAATGGACACCCAAAAAATTTTGGAAAAAATAATAAGTTTTAGAAAAACGTTCTTGGATTTCCGTTGTTCTCCTCATGGACAGAGATTTTGCTGCATCAGCAGTACTACCTATTGATTTTGCTTTTCAAATAATGTAAATGAAATTATTTTTATAGCCTCTTGTTTCAAGATAAATACATTCCTAAAAATGCATCTTATTATTATTATTATTATTATTATTATTATTATCTCAAAGCATTGAATAATGACTTACAACTTTAGCTTTTAGCATTTGTTTGTCATCAATTTTGTACAGCTAGGACTTGCTTTGCACGCCTTTAATGAAATAGAGTAGCCAGTAGAAAGTTTTGTGAAACAAAAATTACATAGCTCATCTGTATTGATGATAACTTTTCCCTGTATAATAGTCTCAATTAATTTTTCATCTTAATTATGTTTTCATTATATTTTTATCATTATTGTTAGAATATTGAATTGGTTGGATTTTACCCATTATTAGATATCAATTTGTAAGAGCCTTGATTTGTAAACTGAAATACATTATTATATTTTACAGTCCAGATGTCTAGTCGGAAAAAGTGCTTTATTTTAATTATGCACTGGATGATAAAGATATACATAATCATCCAAGAAAGTATTTGTTCATTTGCACAATATAACTTTGCATCATCTTTTTTATACCAATTTGTTAAATATCCAAATTCTTATTTAAGGTGCTATATTAAAGCCCAGGTTTGGTTGGGCACACACTACTGTAAGGGGCGCTCCATTTTTATCCTCCCCCCTTCAGAGAGTACAAGGTGAAAATCTAAAATTTATGACCTATGACAGCAGTTAGGGTATTCATTTTTATTATTTTTCCAAAGTGTACGGTGGGCATTACCACCCCACCCCCCTCCACTGTTTTGTTTGTAAACTTATGAAAGTGATAATAAAAATGGATGACCCCTAATGAGGCGGCTTGATTGTACAAACAATGTAATTTCCCTGAGTAATCTCCCATCCACCACTTACTGTATTTGTCCAGATAAAGGATTTCAGAGAGATAATGGGTATTGCAATCAAGCTGTTTTGTGCCAGTATTAGACACCAGATACATCATGGCTGGATATGACAGTGGAGAATTTTTATGATGACCTATGTTTTAAGATGGATAGATATGTGATTTTATTTTTCAACTTACAATTATTTTAGCTAATTTTTATGAATCAACGAATGCAAAGCTTTCAGTGGTAATCATACAAGGATCATTACTTTAAGATAAGATCTAAGATAAAACAAAGTAAATCAAAGACTAATATTTTTTATGAAACTGCAGTAAAATGCTTATATTTTTATATTTTATATTATCAAATGACAAACTGACCAATATTTCGCTAAAATATATGAAATTTAATATTTTGTCTTACTTTCAGCTGGGAAATTTAATGCTGGTTGCTGTTTAGTAAGAGTATATATATATTAACATTCTCATACATATGAACAGTCCATATTTAACAACTTTCTCACATTTTTACAAGAAAAGATTGTAAACTTGATTATGAATGTAATAAAGGAACTGTAGAAGGCGAAAGAAAGATGATATTGTTTGTAGTAATAGTTGTCTACTACTTGCAGCATTTTGTGGCATCATGAACAATTCTACTAGAATTTCTAGTTTAATTCAGAAACCCCGAAGTAGGCCTACATCCCCCTAAATAGGCGCAGTGTGAATCTGCCCAGTGTATGTAATTCACCTCAAAAAGACCACTCTTTAATTCCAAAGTCCATCTTTTATTGAGTGTATCCATTAAGTGTGTTAAAAAAAGAAAAAGAAAAAAACGAGCGTTTAACCGCTCCTCCAAACGGATCATGCAGATGCAAGTGTGTTAGTTGCGCTAATAGATCCATAACAAGCACAATATAGTAAACAGCGGCACTTTGCTGCAGCTACTGTAGAGCGGCCATTTGCACTCATCGCTCTCCCAGTCAGGTTTGGCCCACGCACAGACTGTGTAATATGGTCAATGTATCAGAAAGGATTAAATATTCCATCATTATGATCACTGCCCTTATGAAGCTGAATTTCATGTCCTATGCTAGCGTATACGCCGCTTGGAATCCTCGTTAACACGCATTAACAGCAAGTGGAGGGGGTAAGACATATTGCATTGTCACTTTTATTATTAAAGGTACATGTAATCGTTAAAGCTTGTTCAACATTTACGTCAGTGCTTATGATGGACGGATAAAGTTTTTGTGTTTTCTTGTCTTTTCATGCTAGTTTAAAACCCTATATTATAGAAGTAGACTGTAGGAATAGATAAAGTACTGCAGCAATATTGGAAAAGTTTCCAGTTTTGTCATATTTTTCTGCATTCCAGAAAAGAGATCTATCGACATCATGTCTGCACCAAAACCTGATAAATTAAATAGGTAAATTGGTATTTTATTATAATTAATCTCTTCTTACTCTGCTTTTATCTCATTTGTAAAGAAGAAATGGAAATGAAGAAAGCAATATTGGATATATACATGTACTGTAAATAATTTTCTTTTGCTGAAGTAAGCAGCTGTGAACAAGTTTTAAAGAAGAGAATGCAATTTGTGTCTGCCAGAGCACTGTATTCATTTATTTATTATAATTATGCATGATTGTCATCATAATAATATTACTATTTTCTGATTTTGCTGCTGATCTGCACAGCATAATTTTGCATTTTTAAAAGACAGTTGATCGTTTAAGATCCATGAGTTTTGTCTTAGTGATTTCTAACAATTCTGTAAAATCCCAAAATTGAAGTGCCTAAGCTGAAAAATCAACATATTTGAGTCATTTTGTAATATTAAATGCTAAATTAATGCAAATTTCTTGAATTTTAGATTTTTGTAAATATTTTAATTATTAATCTCTGAACACAGTTCTTTTGCTATGCATGACTGATATTTTAATGTAATTTTTTCTATTCCAGAATTGTTAAACTCCTCATGACTAGAGTAATGACAAAGGAATGTACACTTGGTTATGATGAACAGGTTCCACACAATAACCAGATACAAGAGGAAATATCCCCTCATTGTAACAAACACAAGAAGAGTGAAACATCATCCATGTATGACGATGATGAGGCCCCTGAAGATGGTGATTCCAAAAGTATAGATGCACATAATTTCAAAGGAGAAAACAAAAGTAATTCCAGTGCCTCAGATTTGAGTTGTCTCAGTGTAATAGCCAAACAACCAAATTCACCCAAGGGTAAAACTTTACACAAGTGCAAATATTGTACCAAGGTATTTTCAAGGAAAAGTGATAATATCAAGCATGAAAGAGTACACACTGGCGAAAGACCCTTCCTGTGTCGAGTCTGTAAAAAGGCATTTACCCAGAAAGCTGCTTGCGTCAGACATGAAAGACTTCATAATTATGATAGGCCATTTATTTGTCAGTTCTGTGGGAATGGGTTCATACAGAGATGGGATCTGGTGCTGCATGAAAGAATCCACACTGGAGAAAAACTTTTTGACTGTCATTTTTGTAAAATGATTTTCACACAGAAGAAAACTTTGGAGAGACATGAAAGGATTCACACTAATGAAAGACCATTTCAGTGTCATTATTGTGGCCAGGGATTCACACAGAGTAGCACTTTGGTGAAACATGAAAGAATTCATACTGGAGAAAAGCCATATACCTGTAAGTATTGTGGACGGAAATTTGCTTCGAATAGTGACTGTGGAAGGCATGAACGAATACATGCTCGCAAAGTACAAAATAAACAGTCCAATCTTTCAAGTTTACCTGATATTCAAGCAAATGCAGTTAATACTGTGGTAGGCCAGAATAATGGTGATGCAAAACAAGATAAAAATTTTCCAAAGTCATTTATTAAATCTACAGCTGAGATGACATCCGTTGTAAAACAAGTCAACCCTGGGGATGTGGTTGAAAAAAAGAGAGACCTCCAATTTCTGTGAGATTCATGCAGAAACTGGTCACAGAATACAGGAAGGAAACTTTCAAGCCACAGCTTATAATGGACTGATTGTAAATTCTACTGACACTTGTTTAAAACCAGTTCAAAATATTGTTAAATTTCAAGATGGAAACTTTTCATTGACGGCTGATAATGGACATGCTTCAGTTTCCAGTAAAAATTTCATAGAGGTTGATCAGCATATTGCACAAAGAGAGCACCCCATAGTGGCAGATAAAAGTTCATTTCAAACCAATACTTCAGTTAAACAAACCACTATTGGAGTAGACACTGAAAGTAAAAAAGATGTTTTTCTCATCACAGAAAATGAAAACAGCTGCAACAAGTTGGAATCGGGTAGTCCTGTTATACTTGGTGAGCCTCAGAAAGTTCCAACAAGCAAACACCAGGAACGCTCCAAGAATGACAAGTTGTACAAGTGCGAGTTCTGCGGAAAGGCATTTGCACATCGATGTGACAGCATTAGACACATAAGAATTCACACGGGTGAAAAACCTTTTAAATGTAGTGTCTGTGAAAAGGCATTTTCTGATAGAAGTTCTTGTGTCAAACATGAAAAAATTCATACTTTAAACAAACCATTCACATGCCAATACTGTGGCAATGGATTTGTGCAGAGAATGGATCTTGTGTTTCACGAAAGACTTCACACTGGAGAAAAACCATTTGCATGCCAGTTTTGTAAAATGACATTCACGCAGAAGAAAATTTGCGCAAGACATGAGCGAATTCACACAAATGATAAACCATTTCAGTGTCATTTTTGTGGACAAGCTTTCACGCAGAGTAGCACTTTGGTGAAACATGAGAGAATTCACACTGGAGAAAAGCCATATACATGTAAGTCCTGTGGTAAGAAATTTGCTAGAAAAAGTGACTGTGGTAGACACGAAAAAATACATGGTGGGAAAAATGTCAAATAAACACTAGTGTGTTTGCACTGTTTAATAAAAGATCATCTTAAAACTCAACTAAAGAGACTTGTAATGAAATTTTGTTGCCAAAACCTTTGCAATATGTTGAAAATGTTGTATTACCAAAAACTATTAATTAAAAAAAAAATTAATTAAATAACTGACAGAAAGAGAGAGAGAGAAAGAGAAAGACCAGGGATTGGTTGACGATAAGATTAAAGAAAATAGTAAGACTTCAGACTGAAATATTCCATAGCAATAAAAATTGCTATATGACAATTAAACAAACTCCTGGCTTGATTCAATAATTTACTCTTTAAAGATGTCTTTATCTTTACAGCATGTACATTGCTTGACTAATAGAAAAATGTGAGAAATTGAAGTTACCCTGTACATTTAGTCAGGCATGATTGCTAATTTCTGAAATATTGACTGAGTACAAATTAATTTCATCAAGAACATGCATCTAAAAAGGTTTTTGTAAGAGTATCCTTTAGACTGTAATAAGTGCATAGAAAAAAATCAGTAGTTGCTGTTTTGATTAGAGCTCTACAAGAATTAGAATAAGATTGAGCATTTTTTACAAAATTAATTAAATTTCATGTCAAATCCACAATGATTATTTAGCTGCACAAATGATTAATATTTGCAACTCTTTATAATGTTATAGTATCACACAAAAGCTCACTCTATTGTATATGCTTCTTCACTAAGCTAGCTTCTTAAGTGTGAGATTTCATAAGTGTGCAAGCGTGTGTGTGTGTGTGTGTGTGTGTGTGTGTGTGTGTGTGTGAGTTTTAAAGATATAAAACTGCATACCATCATCAAACATTAAAAAAAATCAGATGACAACTTGACTTAGTTTATCTGGAATGTATAAGAAGCTACTAAAAGCAATACATTGTCATTGTCTTATATAACAAGAAAACATACATAAATATATGTTCAATCTATGCTCACTAACTCTGAAGTATATGGCCAGCACAACCAATATTGTGGAATGTAAAAAAGCAACAAACAGTAGCTGGGCATCTACCAATGTATAGCAAAAACAAAACTTACATAATTCAATCATTAACATACAAACAATCTTTGGTAAATATGAATATGCGCATGCTTTATAATTGTGACCAGTTTAAATGGGCTTGGTAAATGCATTGGCAAGCTTGCATTATTCAGTTCAGCTAGGCTACATACAACCAGTATTGGTGTAAAGTTAAAAATAAGATATTAAATTTATATAATATTGTGGACTTCTTAAATAATAAAAAAAAATTCCACATAAAAGAACCTACAAACATTCCCATCACAGGCATGGGTTGCAAACAGATCTTATGTTTCCTACATTTAAATGCTTATAAAATATATTTGTGGACGGTAAATACAGTGGTGAGGAGGGAATGAGTTTCTGGCTCAGCAGTGCATAAATGATGCATAAAACACGAAAAATATTAATAATATTTGGTCTTTAAGAAGCTGTTTTTAATATAAAATATATCTTCAAAATGTAAACACTTAAAAGATTGCTGTAAGTTACTAAGAATGCATATTTGCTTAAATACATAATATGTGGACGGTTAAAGACTAGCAAAGTTTTCAACTAAATGAATAAATATAAAGAATGGACAGGTCAACAAAATATTGTGAAGATCCATATGTCACAAAAATTTATCTCATCAAAAAGAGATTTAAAAAAGGGTTACACACATAAATCTCTTTGTACTTATGTTCCCTAGAGTAAAAATATAAAAAAATTTTTAATATCCTTGTTTTATATACCCTTTTGTATAGAGCAATCGTAATAATAACAAATCTCTTTGTATGGTAGGTTTCACAGTAAAAGCAATCTCATGGCATTTGACTGGTGTACCCTGATCCCAAGTTTCAACAGCACCAGTCTTGTACACATTCACTTCAGATTATATGTGGCTGAAAACCCTGTCACTGTATTTGTCACTGGGCTATTTAGCATGTGACGTTTCAGCTATTATTGGCTCCTAAAATCCTACAGATGTCAGCACCAAACAGGCACAGAACTTGAGACAATATGGCCGCCATAAGTGTTCTTTTAGGTATCAGATATAAATGGATACAATGTTAGTCAGGAGTGCTATAAATGAGTGTCTGTGAAGACTGTCTGCTCCTTGGTGACACTTACTGGGTGACTGGAGGCGTAGTCATCATCATCAAACTGCCCCTGTGGGGAAAGCAAGGAATAAAATCTTTATCAGTCTGACATACCCATAAGAAGATAGGACATTTGTACTTGCCAATGGTTTGAAAAATTACAATAAATTATTGGTAGTCGGCATCTTTAATTAGGCATTCCACCTGCTGGTTACAGGCTGGCTCATATTTTAACCAATGAAGATATCAAAAGATCATCCCCCTTTATATCTGCCTCCTCAATCATCCTCCAACCCCCCCCCCCCCA